CCCCCCCCAAACCCTTTCCGGCCTCTCCCCCCCCCCCAGCCGGGCCGCCCAGCCCAGCCCCCTGCCCTTGTCCCCTTTCATGGTTTATGACCTTCTGGGGCTGCACTTTACCAAGACCATTGGATTTGAGCGGGCGGGAAGGGCCCCCCTCCATTGCCCCCCTCCCGGGCTGGTGGTTAAAGCGCTTTTGTTTCGCTGAAGTTTTATTGTTTTAAGGGTCCCTGCTCCAGCCGGCCTTAAAACTCGCGTCCTTTGACTCCGGAAGTGGAACTTCTCTCATTTCATCCGAGCTGGGTGTGAGATTTCCTCCCCCCCAAGACGCTTTGCACATTCTCAGAGGCATTGTCTCGTTTATGGAGGCCTAGCTGTAAGGACCCCTTTATAGCTGAGCCGAGAAATAAGCTCAAATCAGTATGAATAAGGAACCTTCTTCTCCACTCAAGCCTTCCTTGAATGACTGCCCCCCCCACAGAAGCCTCAACTCCTCTTTAGAGTTTTCCTGTTTCGAACTCGGGCCTTGCTTGTCATTGAATGACTGTCAGGCCCCGATCTCTCTCTCTCTCTCTCTCGCTCTCTCTCGCTCTCTCTCTCTCTCTGCCTGGATCCCTGTCTCAGTGAGTGTTGGGAGAAATACTCCTTCCTAAATGAGCTCCCACACCGCTGGGGGGCTGGGGTGGGGAGAGAGAACCCGACTGCTCCCCGGAGGAGCTGGCAGAGTAGCTTCAGCCTGGCTGGGCGGCTGCTGGGTTGGTTGGCCGCGCTCTTTCCGCTTCGCTTTGCTCGCCGGTGAGCTCCGTGCCCGGCCTCCGGAGGGGAGAGCGAGCCAACCCGAGCCAGCCCGCTCTCCTGCTTTGTCGTCAATGCCGGCCCGTGTGTGAGCGAGCCTGTGTGGCAGCGGGGCAGCGGCGACGGCCCCTGTGTGTGTGTGTGTGTGTGTGTGTGCCTGTGTGCGCGTGTGTGTGCGCGCATAATAGGAAATAGTAAAAGCAGCGAGGCAGGTCAGTCGGCCAGCGATTAGGTCGCAGTTCTGGTCACTGCCAGCGCGTCGGCAGAGGCAGTCCCGTGGAGTAAGCTGGGAGTAAGCAAGGAGTAGCAGAGCGGGAGCCGAGGGAGGCGGAGGTTCGTGGGCCTCCTTTTGCCTCGCTTAGCTCGGCCTGGCCTGGCCTTGCTGCTGTTGTTGCCGTTGCCGT